CCTGAAATGTACCCCACATCTTTACAATAAAAATTTAAGAAAAGAAGATAAAATAAGCTCCTTTGACCTAAAAAAAAAAGAAGAATTAGTCAAGCTTGCCATAGAGTAAAGGTTACACAAAAATTATACAAATCACAAAGCATGATTACATTGATACAAAAGTTATACAAATCACAAGGCTTACAATTATATTGATACTATATTATTCAAATGTATAACCATTCAGAAAAAGGGAGTAAATGAGAATTTCCATCTTTCAGATCATTAGGCGTAGTCTATAGGAGAGTCAAGGATCCCCTGAAGCTACTTATTGGAAATGCATTGGAGATGAGGGGACTCTCAGTGATGTGTTCAGGAATGTGCAGGAGTGCTTGAACCCTTGCTCTGCCCTTCTCTAGAGCCTGTGACAATATGGATGGACATTAGCTGGCCTTTGGGTCAATCAGACTTACATGGTCTCTACACAGCCCTTCTCAGCAATGCTTCGTGGCCTTTCCTCAGAATCAGGTTTCTGGCCATGTGGTTCCGTGTTGCAGACTCTGGACACAAGCTGTTTGTTCCGGAGGACTTGGCCACATTTTCCATGTTATATTTCCTGCTTGTGTATGCCCTACTTACACTTGACAAGACTTTCCTCAGAATCGAGTGACAATGTGACCTTTCTCTAGAGAACAGGCAAACTTTTTCAGGGATTCTGACCTTTGGGCCCATTTGGGGAGCCACTGGCAGCATGGAGGCATAATCAGGTGCAATTCCAGGCATTTTGTTCAGGGGCAGAGAAGATTCCTAGGGAAAGACTGGTGGGTCTGTTGTCCTACTAGGATAGGGGGGCTGTTTGTGTAGCCTGGGGCTGAGGCACAGTCTGTAGGTCTCAACTGTGACCACCACCTGTAGACATACTCCAGTATGGCTGGGTGAGTTTGGACAAGTTACTGAAAGTGAATATATTAATTATGCCTACCCCGTAGGGTTGAATGAATGATATAAGAAGGTGCCTGGCACATGTTGGGACTTAACAGAGGTGAACTACGGCTACTGCAGCACCTGTGAGTGAGATAGACCAAGGTTAGAGTGTACCATCTGGCTGTACTGGGACTTCATGGGGGAGAACTTCTGCTGCAAAATGTTTTTTTGTTTTGTTTTGTTTTTTTGAAGTTGGAGTCTCACTCTGTCACCCAGGCAGGAGTGCAGTGGCACGTTCATGGCCACCCCAGCGTCAACCTGTGGGCTCAGGGGATCCTTCTGCTCAACCTTCTGAGTTGCTGGAACTACAGGTGCATGCTACCTCTCCTGGCTAATTTTTGATTTATTGTAAAGATGAGGTCTCGCCAAGTTGCCTGGTCTGGAACCCTCAGGCTCAAGCAATCCACTCGCCTTGGCCTCCCGAAGTGCTGTGATTACAGGCTGAGCTACTGAGCCTGGCCTGTTTTTAAAATATTTTGGATTATAAAGATTGACTGGACTTACAACATTTAGGAGGCCAACAGAGATCAATCATGTGGCAACTTCCTCCTTTTCCCTCTCCCTAATCCCTGGCTGCAAAGAGACCATTAATAAAGTCCAGAAGTGTTTGGTGCCTCCAACATGCCACAAACGACATTTTCAGGATGGCCTTTAATTTGGGTGGCAAAGCTTGTATGGTAGTAGAAGTGGAGTCAGACATAGGCTGCTGAGGAGGGAACATTTAAAGACTGTGATGACCTTTAGAATTCTGGTGTCAGTGGATTTGACCATTCATGAATGACCTGAAGTTCTATGACATGCAGCAATTCATGCAGAATATAAGCATTTGAATCATGTGTTCTGTGAGGTCGGTGTATGTTGTAAGATGCTTTGCTAGTAAGTGAGCCTAACAGACTACCCAGCAATCCTAAAACATGACTTAATGGTTTTCATAAGCGTGTGTGAGCATGCGCGCACACATATATGTTTGTGTGTGTGTGTGTGGTTGTGTGTGTGTGTGTGTGTGCGTGTGTGTGTGTGTGTAAAAGAAATCGCTCTCAAATTAGATAAAAACTTTGGTGAAAAACAAAAAGGTTGTCACCTCTAAATGAAAATGTGGTTCTGAGGACAGGAAGGAACCTTCACCAGTCAATTCTTATGTGTGAACCTGGGGCTTTTCAAAGGTGTCTAGGCAATTCCTAGCTAGTATCCAGCATGTATGTAAGTATGGCTCTTGTCCCCTGAAGCAAATTAGCCTTTGTCTGCTCAGGTTTTCAGGATGCCTCATCATTCAGGGACAGCAACAAGCATGGGTTCTCAGCCATCTTTGGAGGCATGCCCTTTTGTGAATGGGGCTGTGGTCTAGCAAGTGGTTAACAGCTTCCAGGGGCCTCAAGGGTGCGACAGCACTGTGGTGCCATATCTGTGACACTCTGGTGACCTTTCTTGTAATGAGATCTTAAGATGCCATGGATCTAGACGACAAAAGCTGAGCAGTGGTAAAGAAATTAATGTGTGTCTCTGGTTTCAGGAAACCCTAACGCTTTATGACCACTTCCCCTTTTGGTCCTTTTGAGCATCATGGCTGACAAAACAAGTGAATGCGTGAAAGGATGGTGTCCCCATCCCTAAACTCTTCTCACCTCTTCCCCCAGCTGGGAGATACATGCACAAGGCCTCTTTGGAGGGTGCTAGACACAAGTAGGCATTCTTCCATCAGGAAGGACATCTCAGCTTCTTCAGGTGGGGCACAGGGTAAGGCTATCAGTCTGTTCCTGGATGTTGACCCAAAGGCCAGGGAGATAGTCAAGCTAAGAAATGCGAAGTAGATACAGGGAAAAGCCAACCAAAATGCTTTTTCCTAGTCTCACAAGTCACTCAATACAGAACATTCTGTGATCTGAGACACGCAGGTTTTCCTTCCACACACCAAACAATCAGTTCTGCAGTGGACACCAGGTGGGTGTCCTTTAATTCAGTTTAATTCTGACACTACCTGGATATAGCATCAGATCCCACAGGTGGAAAGTTCAGTCTCACAAGACTGTCTCCTACTTCAGATGCCACTCACAAGTTTGGGCTTCCAGAACTTCTAACTGACCTGCTATCAATTGAGAATCCCATGAGCCTCTCCTCAGGTTTGATTAATTTGCTAGAGCAGCTCACAGAATGCAGGAAAGGACTTTATTTGCACATACCCATTTATTACACAGGATATTTTTTAAAAATGGACTGCCAAATGAAGAGATGTGTGAAATTAAATCATTCAAACTTAAAACTATTGGAACTTTAAATTATTCCAACCCTTGGAAGGAGTGTAGCCATGTGGCCTGTCATGTGGCATGAAGCTGCAACTCCTGCCTTTTGTTCTCTGTAAATAATTAGGAAGACCAAACAGTACCAGAGATAAGACCCCCCAGATCACTACTCCTCCTCACAGGGTAATAAAGTAATCTTTCTTGAAATGCAGTAATCTGTGACTAATCAAATTGCTGTAAAGTATGCACTGGTCTTGTATGGAAAATGTTGCAATCCTGCATACATGCTCTGTCTCCGCCTCTATACATGAAATTTTAACTCCAGTTTGGAACACTGATCTTCTTCATTTAAAGTTGATGTTTTCTGAGAGGCCATTCTCAAGCTCTGAGCTGGAATAAACTCTATACCTAATCATATTTTTTGAATCTTATTTAAGGTTGACAGATGCATAGGGTAAGGCACGTGGGAAGGGATGCAAATTTTCCATACCCTTGGTGAGCACACCACCCTCTGGGAACTCAACCTGTTCAGCTATCCAGAAGATCTCTGAACCCTGTCCTTTGGGTTTTTGTGGAAGCTTCATTATGTAGGCATGATAGATTAAATCATTGGCTATCGGTGATCAGTTTAACCTCCAGCCCCCACCCCCCCCCCTTCTGGAGGTTGAGGGGCAGGTCTTAAAATCTCAACCCTGCAATCAATGCCTTGGTCCTAGTCAAGTGTCTTTACATCCCTCCATATTACCTAAGGCTTTTTTGCAATCATGAGTGGCTGGCAAGGCCGGAGTAACGGTCTGGCTGTTGAGGAAGGAGGGTATACGTTCTCCACGGAGATGCCACGAGTCCTTCAGTGGCACCATGTCTGTCCTCCTGGAACATGAGGCTTTCCACGCTCATTTGTCAGGCTTTGGTCACATCCAAAGAAAAACCTGAGGGTTTTTTTTTATTTGTTCATTTTCAGAAAGAACTTGTTTCATTACTTCGATTGGCAGTCCTGTGAAATAAAAAAATTAGACACAGGTGTTTCTCCAGAAAACATATTTTGAAAACTTTTTGCATCTAAGAGAGGAGTTGTGAGGTTTCAGACATTAGGTCATCACAGATAAAAAAAATTAACATTCTGGTGGGAAAATGGTTACTATCTCCATATGATGGTAGCAGGCTCACCCCAAAAGGACCTGTGAGATTTGTGTTGTGCATCTTTACTCAGCTGTACCAAGGGCTCCAATGTTGGATAAGGCCTTCAGATACATATGACAATATTTTATCACATGTTTTAATTTGGGTCTCTCGTTTGTTTGTCTTTTCCAAAATAGCTTATTACCAGAGCAGGTGGAAGGGGGTGGGGGTGAGGGTGGGGAGGGCCCGGGCAGCTGGAACCTCTGAGAAGGGTTCCACTGGCCTCTGTCAGGGATCCAGTAACCCAGGGCAGTTTTGAAATGCCCAGTTAGTACCTTTATGTATTTGTTGTGTGTATTTTTTCTCAAGCCTTGTCTCTTTCCTTGAGCACTTCCTGTTACAGATGATCCCGTCCTGATGTGCAACAGTTTGCTTATTATAACTGACTCTTCTGGGAACTCTTCTGGAAAACTCTGGGGATGATGGAGCCTGCCTTCTCACAAATGGCCACACTGCCACCACAAGCCCTGCTCTTGGTCACTTGAGCCCTGCCTGCAGTGTGTCTCTGAGTCCCTGTGTTGGTGGTTGGAGCCATCAATGCCCAGGAAAGGCTACTCACTCTCCAGTGCTGTAGACACAGGGCGGGACCTCGCAGCTCCTTCCTTTTTGAGGCGAGCGGCCTCATGCTTCTGGCTCCCAGCCCCACTGTGGACTATGAGTCTGAAGGGTGTCTGGAGGTCCCATCACCTTCCTGTAATGAGGAATTCCAGTCCTCAAGGACCTCTTCACCTCCTTCCCACAGTGTCTGGAGCCTGACTTACTTTTCTTTCCTTTGAAGCTTTCACCAACTACTTTAACTGGGGTTTTCTCTACCCTTGACCCTGACTTTGAACCCAGTTCCCCGTGCTTCCTATTCCTGGGTCCATAGTTTTCAGGATTATAGAGGCCTTTGCTCTGGGGGTACAGATTAGGGGATACAAACGTGGGCAAGTTGCAAAGTTCAAGAGGTTTTACAGATGTAACCTGAAGCTTCATAGGTGCCCAGAGTGTCTGTGAAAATTTCATGGGCTGCAGGCACAGGGTATCTCCCAATTTGAGAAAGGTGAGATCAGGTGGGGAGATCATGACCAAAGCCTTAGGTGTATTTGTGTGCCCACAGTGGGAGCTGGGATAGAGGGTTTGCTGGAGCTTCAGAAGGCAGCAACTACCAAAACAAAAATCATCACATTGGGTTTAGGTTATAATGAAAAATTGAAAAATCATTAAATTTTTTTATTAGAAGAGAACAGTGAAATTGTTTCCTTCACGCCACAATATTTTGTTTGTTGCTTTTTCTAGCATGAAAAAATAGGTCCTTGAATGCTATTTACTTTTTAAAAAGTTTAATAATGAACCAGAGACTGGGTGCAGTGGCTCACGCCTATAATCCCAGCACTTTGGGAGGCCAAGGTGAGAGAACTGCCCAAGCTCATGGGTTCGAGATGAGCATGGGCAACTTGGCAAGACCTCATCTCTACAATAAATCAAAAACGTTGCCAGACATGGTGGTGCGTGCCTGTAGTTCCAGCTACTTGGAAGGCTGAGGAAGAAGGATCACCTGAGCACAGCAGGTCGAGGCTGACGTGACCACAAGCATGCCATTGCACTCCAGTCTGGGTGACAGAATGAGAGACTCCAACTTAATAATAATAATAATAATAATAATAATAATAATAATAATAAGCCAGAGCACGCTGTCTCACATCTATAATTCCAACACTTTGGGAGGTTGAGGTGGGAGGACTGCTTGAGCCCAAGAGTTTGAGACCAGTCTAGGCAATATAGCAAGACCTCACCTCTACAAAAAAATAAAAAAACTTAGCCGGGCATAATGGTATGTGCCCGTAGTCCCAGCTACTCGGGAGGCTGTGGAGGTTCATTTGAGCCCAAGAGGCTGTGAGCCATGATCCTGCCACTACACTCCAACCTGGGTGAAGGAGTGAGACCCTGACCAAAAAAAAAAGAAAAAGAAAACAAAAAGATTTGATAAGTTTACTGCTGAATTATTTACATCAATGCATAAAAATGTTTACATCACCTTTAATTTTCTCTAAGTATTCTCTTGTGACTTAAATAATTTATCTGAGTAATATTTTAGTCCTTCTCACAAATGAAGCATAAGGGTTTAACACATGTTATTTGGAAATAGCATCAGCAAATTAGGCTGGGTTAGGAGAGTTCCTCTTTTCACCATGGTTTGCCAGGAGTCTGAGAAAAGTTGAGTAGCTAAAGCAAAAAGCAAAGACAAAAACCCCCCAAACAACAACAATGATAAAAAGATTTTCCTCTGAGACTTTTTGTTCTAAATCTCACCAGCAAGAACTTTTCTAATTAAAAGCAGACTTCGATTCTTAAAGATAAAGCTCCTTTTCTGCTCTTATAGTTTGTTTCCAGAGGGGGGCATTTGTTGACCTTTCTTCTACAGAGGGAACCTCAGACATAAGATCTGCTCCTCGTTCTGCCCCTACTGGAAGGTTTGCAGGGAGGAGATAGTGCCTGACTGCAGGACGAGGACATGTGTCATGGACACTTGTACTCCTGCACCACCACAGCCCATGTGTCTGAGGCAGCACTAGGGGCCCGAGCTCTGCAGGCTCTTGACATTCTCCAGCCACACCCTCTTCCTTGCACCCTGTAGCTGGAAGTGAGGGTCCCTGGGAGGGAGGGCATACCCTTGGCCATCGCTGTGTGAGGCTGGGCCAGTGCCCTCGGCCAGAGGCAGATATGGGAACAAGGATGCAGGCTCCACCACCTCTGGGCTTGGCTGGAGGAAACTCTACTAGAGGCCAAGGGAAGTGGACACTGGGCTGACGGGCAGCAGTATCACAAAAGGGCCTGCCAGGCTGGTGGGTGTCAGATGCCTGAGGCCGCCAAGGTGGTGGGCTCCTGTCATTTACCCCCTCTTGGTTTTCCTCAGTGAAACTGGTTGCACAGGGTTCTCATCATCCCTGTCTTTCTGCTCTTACATGGTCATAACCAGAGCCTGCCGGAGAGTTGCCACTCCTCTCCCCTAGACCTGTCTCCTGTGAGGTACCTGAACTTGGCAGGCGTGAGAGATGGAGTGATAGGTGCTAATGGGACGTAGTCACTGTCACCAGGTAGGGCGTGTGGACCCACAACTTGGGCACCTTATCAGGTTCTGGACAAACTCCTTCCTTTTTATCTTGGCCAATGTCCCATCTGAGCCCATGGTTCCTCTGCTGTTGGAATCTGACAACATGCCACATAGCAGGTGTGTCACTCACAGCAGGAACTGGGGATAGGACAGGGTTTGCTTGACTTCCTGAGCTGCTGTTGAGGTATCTAGAGATGAGGTGGAATCGGCATCCGCCATGGGACTTGACCAGTGAGAACCTTGGTCCAGTGGGAAGGGGACCATATCAGCTTCTTAGAAGTGCCATCCCAAAGTGCCAATAACTGGATGGCTGAAATAACAGAAATGTACTGTCTTGTAGTCACAGTCTGGAGGCCAGGAGTCACAACTCAAGGTGTCAATGAGTTGGCTCCCTCTGAGGCTGTTCCATGCCTCTCTTCCAGCTTCTGGCAGTCTGCGGGCCATTGTTGGCTTGCAAATGCATCTCTCTGATCTCTGCCTTCATCTTTATGTGCCTTTCTCCCCATTCTCACTCTCTACACTGTCTTCCTTCTATCCATGTCTGTGTCCCAATGTTCCTTTGTTATAAGGACAATCAGCATATTGGATGAGAGGGCTCACTTGTATGAGTTCATCTTAGCTTAATCTACTGTTGAAAGACCTTATCTCCAAATAAGGTCACATTCTGAGGTACTGGGGGTAGGATTTCAACTTTTCTCTCTTGGGGGACACAGCTCAATCCATAATGGGGGAGGAGGAAGGGAACCAGACAAGGAATTCCTCTCCTGTGCCCTCCTGTGGGCTGCTCTGAGGGGAAATTTTCTTCTCAAGAAGTCCCAGAGCAAATGTGGCTGGAAATCTCCCAAGGCCTTGCCCCTGCCATGACTCAGTGGCCCCCACAGTCAGTGTCACATCACATTGTCTCCCATCTCTCCCTTCCTCACTTCCCTCATTTCATACTCTCGCCTTCCTGGGCCACCACTTTCAAATAAAGTAGCAGCACAAGCCGGTCTCGGTGGCTCAGCCTATAATCCCGCGCCTTTGGGAGGCTGAGGTGAGTGGATCGCCTGAGCCCGCGGGCTCGAGACCCGCCTGGGCAGCGAGACCTCATCTCTACAATAAATCAAAAAATCAGCCGGGCGTGGTAGCGCATGCCTGTAATTCCGGCCACTTGGAAGGCTGAGGCGGAAGGATCGCCGGAGCCCAGCAGGTCGAGGCTGCGGTGGCTGGGAGCGGCCACTGCACTCCAGTCTGGGCAACAGAGTGAGACTCCAACTAAAAAAATAAAATAAAATAAAAATAAAGTAGCAGCACATAACCCTTGCCTCAGGCTCTGCTTTCTGGAGGACGTGGGCTAAGAAAGCAGGGACCCAGGGCCTCTGTCAACAGGAGCCAAGGGAACAGAGGGAAGTGGTGCCAAGGTGAAGTCCGAGTGGGGGAATGAGAGCAGAGTTACAGGGGCAGATGAAATCTGTCAGGAAAAAAAAAACAGGAAGCAAGGATACACCAGAGTTCACCTCGGTGAGGGGTCAGCAGGGCTCACAGTGGAGGCAAAAGAACCAGAGGACAAGAGGGAGGAGAGTGAAGAGGGAAGGGGAGAGGAGGTAGATCTGAACAGGAGAACCTAGTGGGAAGAGAAAAGAGAAGCAGGAAAACCCAGGGAGAGCAAAATGTAGGCCAGAAATGTAGCAGATATGGTGTTCAAGTCACAATATAGGGGTTTATCTGCCATTATTACATAAAGCGAGCTGTAAGGCTTTTGTTTCACCTCAAAATATCTTGGGGGACGAGGCAGTTCTTTCACATGATCTTCCTAGAAGCACAACAATTCATTTCCCCTGTATAATCTCTCAAAATGTACGACTTTATCTAGCCAGTTAGTCTTAACATTGACCACAGATAATAAACTAGAGCAATTTTTAAAGAAATAGACACCTGGGGATATCACTTGGTCCCAGCCCTGGGTTTCCCCGCATCCACACAAATGCACCCAAGCAGTAGTTCCCAGCTCATCCTGGTGGCCCATGTGACTTGGTGTTGAGCCCCGCAGTCCGGCTTCCTTCAAGGCCCAACAGTTTTATTTATTCACCATTCATAAAATACTTCACGACAGCCTGCTGTGTACGAAGAATTATTCTAAGAGGGGACAGGAGAGGACAGACTCAGTTCCATGGAAAGCACCTTGGAGTGGGCCCCACTGTAGGTAAACAGAAACAAAGCTTTAGACTATGAGGTCATGCAGCAGAAGCTCTACAAGGAAACAAAAAACAGGGTAAAGGGACAGTGAATGACAGAGTGAGGGCCACTGTGGGGCATGAGCCTGGGGAAGCCTGGCGTAGGCGGAATGGTGAGAGCTGCCTCTCAGGAAGTGACTTCTGAGCAAAACCTGGAGTGAGGGGAGGCGTATTCCAGGGGACACCACGGTGTGGGCAGAGACTCCCAGGCAGGAGTAAACCTGAGAAACAGTCCCCCACTCCTTTATAAAATGTGTTTACCATCTTCTTAGTTCATGGCCTGTGAGTTTTGACAAATAGGCATGTCCTTATAATCACCACCATGCACAATTCAATAAATTTAATAGATTGATAGAGTCACGCAGCCATAGCCAACCACACAACTTTAGGACATTTCCACCCTCAGACCTGATCAAATATTAATCTACTATCTGTCTCTTGAGATCTGCTATTTATGAACATTTTCTATCAATTGAATCATACTGTATATGGTTTTTTGGGTGTGGATTCTTTAATACAACACAACATTGTGAGGTTCATTCTAGCTGTGGCACAGTTCATCCTTTCATTTATGTTGGTTGTGGAATAGTATTCCTATGACATGGAGGCACTGTGTGCTGTTTTTCCCTTCAGTAATTGATAGATATTTAGGACATGTCCACTTTTTTGGCTGTTACAGACAGTCCTTTCGTGGGCATTTACATGTGAATCTCTGTGTGGTCCTATGCTGTCATGTTTGAAGGTACACACCTGGAAGTGGAAATCCTGGGTATTTTATTACACAGAAAACATTCGGAGAAACTATCAAATAGTTTTTTCAGAGTGATTGCACTATTTTGCATTCCAATCAGCAATGTCTGAGGACTCCAGATTTCTTACAGCCTTGCTGTCACTTGGGGTCATTTGTTAAATTACAGCCATACCTCATTGCAGTGTTGGTATGCATTTCCACAATAACTCATAATATTATATTTTCACCTGTTTATTGAAAATTTGTATAACTTCCTTGGGGAAATATCTATTCAAGTAATCTTCCATTTTTTTAATCAGTCAATTTGTGTTTCCTTCTGTAGTAAGACGCCTTTTTGTATTATGCATCCGAGTCCAATATCAGATACGTGATTTGCAAATATTTTCTTGTATTGAGTAAATTGTCTTTTCATTCTGAGAGATGAATGTATAACGAGGACAATGGCCGGTTATGCATGAAAATAGACTCCTGAATCAAAACAGCAATCAGCCCAGAAAGCCAACCTACTGTCTTCACCAACTAGTCCAAGAACTCAAACTCTTCTCTGTAGCCACCAGGTCAGGGAGCCACAAAATAACTCCTGTGTGAATCAGCCCCAAACAGTCTGAATTATTAACGGATTTCCTTAGTTGCTGCCTCTACTTCCAACTTGGGATCAACTGGAGAAAACAAAAGATGCACACCTAACAGAGCATACACATGATTCTGTTGCTTGTTCCTTACCTGATGCTTCCTCATGACAGCAGCCTGCAATCAGGGCACCCCCGAAAACTGTCATTTTAATTATAAAGACTCTCCATTCTTCTGCCTGCCTTTGATTCTCCACTAAACACAAACTGATGGTGGCTAACTCCCTTGCAATAGAAACCCCCGAATAAAGCATCTTTCCTGATTTTCCTTTGGAAAAAAGGGATTCTATCACTCCCAGAATTCTCCCGTGTCCCATGGCTGTGGAGTTCTTCTCTGACCCATCTCTGGCAGACCTGAGTTTGCTGTCCTGATAGTTTTGCCTTGCTGGAATGTCATTAAAATGGAATCAGGCAGTTTGTGGTCTTTTGAGGACAGTTTCTTTCACTTGGCATAATGCGTTTGAGATTCATCCATGTTGGGTGTATCTGGAGCTTATTTTTAAATTGCTGAACAGGAGTCGTATGGGATTTGTCTAGCTTATTTATCCACTTCCCTGGTAAGGGATATTTGAGTTGTTTCCAGGTTTTGGTAACTATAAATGAAACCACTAAAAACATGCTTGTGAAGGTTTTTGTGCAAATCTCAGTTTTTATTTCACTTGGGTAAAGACCTGGGGTGGAATTGCTGGGTTGTGCAGTAAGTGTATGCTTCGCTTCATAGGAAACTGCCAAAATGAGAAGTCGTTTCTAAAATGTCCATCAATATCGTGGTCTTCACAACTGTTGGGGGTGGGTACTATTATTACCCCACTCACCAGGGTTAGGCAGCTTGCCGAGGACACAGAGCTGGTACACAGTCAGTCTAGGGAGCCTGGGCTTGGGCACTCTACAGACGCACCTGCTTCTCTCCGCTTCAGTTTTTGTTTCTCACGACTGACTTTCTCTGCTTTCTTACAGTCTCTGCCCTCCTAATCAGGCTGGCTCAGTCTCGGCCTCACTGTGCACCTCCTCCATCAGGACATTTTCTCCATAGTGACGCCATCTGGGGCTGCCCACGTCCCCAAAAGAGACGCAGCAGACAGCTCTCCTGGCTACTCTCCACCCAGGTCTGGCACCAGCCTGGGGAACCAGTGACATCTAGTGGTCGGTACTTAGAACTGCGGTTGCTCTTGGCGTTCAACGTGCAAACCATCTGCTGCGTTTCCTTGCTAAATAGGCACACACCTGTGCAAAGGAGGCATGCTCGTGTTTAAAAATTCAAACGGTTGCCTGAGCCCACGGGTTCGAGAACAGCCTAGGCAATTTGGCGAGACCTCGTCTCTACAATAAATCAAAAAGTTAGCCGGGCGTGGAGGCGCGTGCCTGTAGTTCAGGCTACTTGAAAGGCTGAGGCGCTGCTGGGCTCGGTGGCTCAGCCTGTAACCCCGCGCCTTTGGGAGGCTGAGGTGAGTGAATTGCCTGAGCCCGCGGGTTCGAGACCCGCCTGAGCAGCGAGATCTCATCTCTACAATAAACCAAAAAATAAGCCGGGTGTGGTAGCGCATGCCTGTAATTCCGGCTACTCAGAAGGCTGAGGCGGAAGGATCGCCAGAGCCCGGCTGGTCGAGGCTAGGATGGCGATGAGCATGCCACTGCACTCCAGCCTGGGCAACGAAGTGAGACTCCGACTCCAAAAAAAATTTCAAACAGCAGGTAAAGATGTACAACAAAAAGCAAAGTTTTTTTTTTCCTTACTACAGCTTGTTTTACTCCTGTGATTAACTAATTTCTGTTTTCAGTTATCTAGTCCGCATCCAAATATAAATAACATGAAAACACATACAAATTCTTGATTTGTCAACTTTGGAGTGTTATTTTAGCAATATAAATCCCCCCCACAAATGACACAGGATCCATGAGAATTGTTGTCTGTAGTTATCAACTATTAGTTCCAGTACAGGAAAAATAAAGAATTCAAGGCCTCATATAACTTTCCTCTCTCCCTATACCTTTATTTCCTGGTTTTGATTTTACTAGGTTTTTTGTACTGGGTTAGATTTATGCTTAAAAAGAGTATACTTAAAGCCCGATTTCTTGATGTATCACCATAAGATAAAAATCGACTGATTCGTCACTATACAAAACAAGGACATTAGTGCTAGTAGACTTCTCTCTGTTCTCCGTCTTCAGATTTCTGTCAGCCATAATATCACTTTTCTGTTGAGTATGTTTATAGTACTTAAATACTGATGTAACCATAATTAATGTTCTGTGCTTGAGCTGGTACTGAAAACCCTTAAACAGTATTTAAGGTATTATGATTATATAAACACAATTCACGGCAGAAACAAGCACTGTGATTAGGTCCACAGAAAAGGAAATAAAATACTATGTAATTAAATCTTGGGCCCTCAGAGGAGAATATTCTGTGAATGAAGGTATCTTTTCTCCACTCCACCAGTTATCCACAATTACCTGCACTTTAGTTTGTATCAAATTTGAAATGACTTTCTTGTGTTTCCTAGTGTGTCTAGTTACCGCTCTATTTGCTATGATCAACTGAAGAATCTTATATCTTCATCTTCTGTTATTTTTATTTTTGAGTTGGAGTCTCACCCTGTCGCCCAGACGGCAGTGCAGTGGCCGCTCCCGGTCACCACAGCCTCGACCTGCTGGGCTCTGGCGATCCTTCCGTCTCAGCCTTCCAAGTAGCTGGAACTACAGGCACGTGCTACCACATCTGGCTAATTTTTTTGATTTATTGTAGAGATGAGGTCTCACCAAGTTGCCCAGGCGGGTCTCGAATCCATGGGCTCAGGCAATCCACTCACCTCAGCCTCCCAAGACGCGGGATTACAGGCTGAGCCACCAAGCGTAGAATGGACTAAGACCTGCTCAGGGTCTTTATTTTGAATTCTTTTTCCTGCAATTTCTATAGTGCGAGTGATTTCTGAACACAGTCTTCACAGCATCCTCTGACTTTCTTTGGACACACTGTTTCCCAGGTGTTGTGTGACCGTCAGCTTATAATTTTTGTTGTCGTTGCTGTTGCTGCACATTTGAGAATGTAGGCATTCTTATGGATCCTGCGTTATTTTTCTTTTATGGATTTAATTTTTGTTGTTAAAGTTTAGATTTGCCGAAGCACCTGCTCCATCAGTATAACATAGTGGTTAAGAGTTGGCTTCCTGAGTTTGAAACCTGGCTTCACCTCTTCTTAATTCTGTGGTCTCGAACAACAGTGTGATCCCAGCGTGTGGCATGCTCATCGGTCAAATGGGCGTCCTATTGGTCGCTCATGGGTTATTTCAGGATAGGATGAGTACTGTTAGTGGTCCTCATTAGGTAGGATGAAGTACCATTAGGAGAGTGACTCAGTACTTCGGTGGATTTTGCAAGAGAAAAGATTAAATTGGGATGCTCATTTGATTTTGTAAGAGAAAGGAGTCAACTGGGGTGCTCACTTGACCCTCATGAATTGGCAGCCAAATGTGCTTTGACGTAGTCATGAAGGCCAGCCCTGCCACTGTGCGCATCCTTGGTGACCCTGTGTCATGCATGTCATTCTTGATGATCTTGTGCCAATAAAAGACATGTGGGTCTCCAAACCTCCCCCAGAATCCAGGCTTACATCACTCTTTGCTTGACATCTCCACTTGCATGTCCGAAGCACATCTCAAACGCAACGTGTTCAAAACTCGACTCTTGATCTTCTCCCCCAAACTTGTTCCTTTCACATGGTTCTCCACCTCGGGACAGAGTGGCCATTTGTTTGTCTAAATGCTCAGACCAAATGTTTTGAAGTCATATAGATTCTTTTCTTTTTCTTGTACTCCTCATCTAACCCATCAGGAAACTCTGAGTGCTCTAGCTTCACGATATGCCCAATATTCCACCACTTCTGACCGCCCCTCCTTCACCCTTGTCTGAACCAACATCATGTCTCACCTGGTTGTGTAGTGGCCTCTTAACGGCCTCCCTGTCTCCATGTTGCTCCCTACTGTCCAGCCTCAAACTTGACAGGCATGATCCTATCTTCTGCCTCATCTTTCGGACGGCTGTTGGCTGTCCAAAGGGCCACGGACCTATAATGCCTTTGCACACGTCACCTTCTCCATGAGGACTTCCCTGACCACCCTTTTATAACTGCAGCCTTTTCAGGCATCCTGGTCCCCTTATCCATCTCTACTTCTTCTCTTTCATGGCACAAGCCACTTTCTTAATTATGACATAAGTTACTTATTTATCATATTTATTATTCAATGTTTTGTTCCATTGCTAGAATGAATGTTGGCCCCTTGAGGGTAGGACTTTAAAAATCTGCTTTGTTTGCCAGTGGGTTCCAGGGCCAAGAGTACTGCCTGGCTCAGTTGTAGGCACTGAATATGTATTTGGTGAAGGAATTAGCAAATGGCAGTGAGGAGTGTAAAGGTTCTCCCACACTGGTTTGTGCCACAGTCTGGCTACTTGAAAGTAACACTGGAGGAGGCCATCTGGTGGGTTGGGACAGGAAGCGGAATCTCCCTCAGGGTGAGAATGACAGGGAGGTAGCTTGCAGGGGGCAAAAAGGGTGACAGGAAAGGAGGATTTCCCACTCCAGCATACACTGGGCCAGCTGGTCTCCAGGGCTCCATCCAGCTCCAGCCTCCTGGCCTTGGAGGTATTCCAGCCTAGGCTGGACGATGGTTCAGCAGGGATGCTATAGAGGGACTCAAGCCTAAGGAGAAGGCAAAGGGTGGATGACCTCAAGGATGGCCTCTAATCATGAGACTTGATCATAAGATGATGACCTCTCCTTGAAGACCCCGTACCCCAAAGCCAGAGTCACTGCCCAGGAACCCTTGGACCTACTGAGCGTAATGCTCCAGAACCCTTCCCTGATGCCCCCTGCGTCCCTGTTACTCCATGGTCCTGGCCACAGCACCTCCTCCTCCTTCCACTCCCCTGCAGAACCTAATCTATTTTTGGCAAGGTGAGGTGACAGTGACTTTGACTGAGAGAGGGCAGCCTGGACAGATGGAAGGAAGGTGAACGAGGGGCACCTGCCTCTCAGCCTTATTCTTCACGTCTTTTCCCAACTCTCCCCTGGCTTACCCACCTCTCCCCTGGCTTACCCACATGGCCACAGGGCCGGTTCTGGACCAGGCTTATCCACTGTGTTTTGCTGTGTGGTTCTCCATTTGGAGACGCAGGTGGATGTGGTCTTCAGGGGTGTGGAGCAGCACAGATGACAGAGGAAAACAGTGATGGAGAGGGGGGAAGGGAGCCTGAGGCTAGGCATGGAGCACTCTCATTTTCTCTCTTTTCATCAGAGTCCTTATGTCCTTGATCTCTTATCCTGCCTGATGCCAGGAACCCAGCACTGCAGGATACACTGGGCTCCACCCAAGGAATAAGTATTTAATCAGAGCCCTCCTGTCAGCAAACAGCACTTTCTTTTGTCAATAAGAGACCCGGAAGTGTGTCTCTAGGAAATCACCCTTTTGCTTTTATTTCTCTGAAAAATGATCAAAATGATACACAAATCAGAAGGATCAATTCCTAAAATGCTGAATATATGTATTCCCACACTTCCCATCTAATTATCCCCCTCCCTACAAATTAAAGAGCATACCAGATTATTTCCCATCATTTTCTCCTGGAGTATGTTTGCACAATTCAGCAGCTGCCTCACTGTCGTGGTGGGGGAGGGACCAACAAAGGCAAACACAGCAACGCAAACTTTGTAATGAGCACAAGTACCTTACCACCTGCTTCCATGAGTGCCTGAGGATGTTTACACAAAACTTATCTCCTTTGATACCTAATCTTGCAGCTGTTACTCATTTTCCTGTTTTACAGATATGGTTACTAGAGCCCAGAGAGGCCAAGTAGTGAGAGGGGGTGGTCTGTACAGGAGCCAGACCTTCCGACTCCTTCTGTGTTCTTCTCCTTCTTTACAAACACCTCTGCTCAGATAGGACCCAGTGGCCCATGACACCCACCAAGGACATCTGATGGAGTAACTAAGAGCAAGAACTTTGGGGTTGGACAATCCCAGCTTCAGCTTACTAATGTGTGGTCTTGGGTTAAATTTCTTTAAGCCTCTGTTTCCTCGTCTGCAAAATAGGGACAGTAATGCATACTTATTACATAGACATTTTGTGCACATCAAATAAGATAATTTATGCCAAAAAAATGAGCATGATATCTGACATTTATTAATTCTGTTGGTTTTTTTTGCGGTGGAGTCTCACTTTGTCACCCAGGATGGAGTGCAGTAACCCACTCACAGACACCCCAGTGTTGACCTGTTGGGCTCCAGTGATCCTTCCGCCTCAGCCTTCCAAGTAGCTGGAACTACAGGCATGTGTTCCCACATTTGGCTAACTTTTTTGATTTATTGTAGAGACGAGGTCTTGCCAAGTTGCCCGGCCTGGTCTTGAACCTGCGGACTCAGGCAATCCACTCACCTCAGCATCCCAAAGTGCTGGGATTATAGGCTGAGCCACCGAGCCTGGTCTATCAATTCTTTAATAGGTTCTAGCTGTTCTTATGAGTTAGGTCTCTACTGAGTAGGCAGTGTTGGTCAAAGGGATTGAAGGAGGGGAAAAACAGCAAGATTGGCTAGTTGAGGTTAAACTAAATTAGGAGACATTGTACAGGTCAGACAGATGGCAAAGAGAAAGAGGGACTTTGAGAAGGGACAAAAGACAAAACTAAGAGTGAAAGCAGGCATAATCTTGAAATGGTTGGTTTTATCTCAACCACAAAAGCAAGGAAAGCCAAGCCTATTTCCCTTTTAAGGAGACCCAAAATAACAGCTCAGTGTTCTGAACCAATTGAGATGAGAAACAAACCAAAAAATTTAATGAGGCCAGCAGATCCCCTTTATGATTGTGATGGTTAAGTTTACGTGTCAACTTGCCTGGGCCATGAGGTGCCCAGAAATTTGGCCAAACATTATTCCAGGTGTTTCTGTAAGGGTGTATTTTAATGAAATTAATATTTTACTAAATAGAATGAATCAAGCATATTGCCCTCTTTAAAGTGAGCGGATCCCATCCAATCAGTTGAAGGTTTGAATAGAACAAAAGGGCCGATGTCCCTCAAGTAAGGGAATCCTCCTGCCTGACTTCTTGGGCTGGGACATAGGTTTTCCTGCCTTCAGATATGAACTGAAAAATGGCTTTTCTTGGGTCTTGAGGTTGCTGGCATTTGGACTGGAACCATATAATTGGTTTTCCTAGGTCTCCAGCTTGCTGACTGCAAATCTTGGGACTTGTTAACCCCTACGGGGATAAGGACCAATCCTTCTACTCTCTTTCTTGCTCTCTCTGCCCCCCCACCCCTACCTTATTGGTTCTGTTTCTCTAGAGAACTCTGACTAAAACAACGATTAACTAAGCTGTGAGAAACAAAACAGGCTAAGTGCCTACTCTGCAGTCTGGACTTGAGACAGCCCACCTGAGAGAAGGTTTTAGTCCTCAGAGCAGACACAGTCTCCTAATTTGGAGCCCTGAGTGCATAGGAGAAGAAAGTAAACAAGTTCCCCGTGCTCTGGACTGGAATAGAGTAGACCCACCTGTGAAGACGTGTGAACCAACGACCATTGCTCACTGACTAGAGAAGAGTATAGGGGTGTTTGAGAGGAAGTCCTTCATCCCTAGCTTTTAGTTCTTTCAACTCATTGGGCTTCTCCCTTATACCTGTAGTCTAGCAGGGCCACAGTCAGCAGAAAGAACATCCATGCTGCTCCCCCAAACAAAACACTCCACCTCTGTAGAACCTCTGGAGCCCACTACTGGGAAGTTGACACTTTGTCTCTCAAGCACTGGAGTCTACTCCAGGCCACACTGTACTCGAGGTTGAGAGTTCACTCTCTGTTGTGATCCCCCTTCTAAAGTATTTCATCCCGATTTCCTAACAGTCTATCAGAGCTCCTGAAGTGAGATCTGATGACATCGTTAAGTATTCCAATCGTAGCATGCCAATACAAAGATACTCTGATGTTGAAAATAAATTCCTTTCCTTTATGAAATGCCTATGAAAGAATTACAGTGCAAAGATTAAATTCCTAAGGAAGCTAAAGTAAAATATTTTGAGTTAAAATCCCAGTCATGTGTTTGGCTGTGCCTCAGTTGGGGAGTCCCTCACTACCTGGACCAAATGGGGGTTATTTCCACAGTTGTGGCAGGAGAGGGTGGCTCACAGGGCTGGGAGAAGATCTAGGGGCTCAGGGACCCTATCAATTCAACACCGGGTGTCTGATGTGCTCCAGGCTCCACCCAGTGCTTTATTTCAAAAAATTCTAAATCTCAGAAAAGTTGAAAGACTAGTACAGTGAATGCCTGTATGCCCTTCTCTGCACACAGAGAACATTTGCTAACATTTTGGGGGTCACATTTGCTTTTTCTCCCCCTCTCCCTACACATATAGACACACATACATACACCTATTACACCTATTTTTCTTATTTTAACTGGACCATTTGAAAGTATTTCAAGGCCGGGCTCAGTGGTTCACCCTGTAATCCCAGCACTTTGGGAGGTCGAGGTGAGAGGATTGCCTGAGCCTGAGGGTTCGAGACCCAACTGGGCAACTTGGTGAGACCTTTTATCTACAATAAATCAAAAATTAGCCAGGCATGGTAGCACGCGCCTGTAGTTCCAGTTCCTTGGAAGGCTGAAGCGGAAGGATAGCCGGAGCCCAGCAGATAGAGGCTGCGGTGGCCGGGAGCATGCCACTGCACTCCAGCCTGAGCGACAGAGTGAGACTCCAACTAAAAAAAAAGAAAGAAAGTATTTCAAATATTTTCAAAAGTATTTAGAAAATAATAGTGACTTATTGATTTGACATTAACACGTAGTCTATATTCTATTTTTTCTAGTTATCACCAAAATTTATCCTGTGACTTTTGTTGTTGTTGTTGTTGTTCCAGAATCTGGTCAAGGTTCCTATTGCATTGTCATGTCTCTTTAGACTTCCTGGGTCTCACTACCCTTTTGACAGTTGCACGATATTGACAGTTTTGAGGCGTCTTTGTCAGAATGATCCACGTTCTGGATTTTTTTGTCTCCTCTTGTAGTTTCTGGGTAAGATTTTTTGACAAGAGCACTTCATGGGAGAGATTACACTTCCTGCTGCATTACCTCAGAAAGCACACAGGGTCAGTGTCCCCCGCTGCTAGTCATTTGATTGCTTGATTAAGACTAGCCCTGCCAGATCTCTCCATGGTTAAAGTATATTTTCCCCTTCAATTAACCAGAACTGGGTTAGTGATGCACTGAGGCCACGAGGATCTCCTGTTGCCCAGCAACCTCTCGTTGTCTGGTTTCAATATTCATTGGTGATCCAGAATCAATTATTACCATGGGATTGCAAAGTGGTGATTTTCCAATGTCAGCATTTCTTCTATATTAATTATCTGTTGTCTTCTGTAAACAAGAGCTGTCTCCTGTTCCTTTTTTTTGATACTAATTATTTATTAATTCTTTTAAAATTTAATGTATTGTAGGTTATTACTACCAATTCTTTTTTTATGCTCAAATTTAACTGGCAGGTGTTGACTTGCTACTTAAAAGATTTTAGGGACTTAATAGGACACACGAGGATATCTCAACATCAACCCAGACCAACTGACTTTGGACAATAAGCCAATTTGAAGCTCCTAAGACAGTTATCCCAATAAAATCATGCCCACAGGGCTCAGTACTTAGCATTGCCAAAAAGACTGGTGTGAATCATGAAAGGCAGATAGAAAATATCTTTTAATCAGTCTGTTACATCTGAGTGGAGGCTGTGACCTCTAACTTTAACTCAAGTAGCAGGAATATTTCAACTTGAGGGTTGTTTTGCCACTGTGCCATCATCATTCTGAGGATCAGGTAATTCCTTTTCTTTCCTTCCCACTGAAGAGTTTAAAACTTTCCTCTTCTGAGCCTTGTACTTCTGTATTCTCAGAGCTGCACTAGGTGTGAGCTTTGTTTGATAATGTGGCCTCCAGAATAGGCCCTGAGCAGACTTCTTTAATCCTGAGCTGTTCTTGCTACTATCCTCTTGACTTTCAAGTAGGCCTAAGAAACCCGCCTCCTTGGAATGTTGTCCCCTCATTCCACCTTTATGTCAGTTGTGTCTGCAGTGATGACAAATACCCCAGCCTCGTGCTGTGAAAAGCAGCCCAGACCTGCAGTCTAGGCTCATGTCTCGGGCATCTGGTTTCCTCGTTGAACAGCTCAGCCGAGGTTGGGTCAGCAACCCCAGCCCTGCCTGTCCGGGCAAGATCCTGATACCTGGAAGCTTGAAAAGCCACTCGTGGAACTCAGCTGGCTTACATTCAAAGCAGTGAACATTGCTGTGGCTCCCAATGTGTCAAAAGCTTTAATAAAAAGATTCCTCTTTTATGGCTGAATCGGCTACAGCCACAGCTGCTCAAGAAAGCTGTGTTTATTCAAGGAAAAGTGGGCACCTTTTCAAGGACCTTGGCTCTGCTGAGACCCTCACCAACACTCCCTCCCTCCCCCGCCACTTGCTGAGACCCCTGACTCTCTCCCTTGTAGAGATCACGTGTCTAGTGTCCGACTGCTAGACCTCACATAATCATTATTTAGCTGAAATTCTCAGTGGCTAGAGGCCTATAGAAGCTGCTATCTTAGCTCTGGAAGCAGAAAATAGCTGGAAGCAGAGGCTTCATAAGGAGTGACTCTAATCCCAGAAAGCAGGGATGAGAGAGAAAGGGAGAGATAGGAAGGAAGAGCACAGGTAGAGGTGTGTGTTCCAACTTGGCCACAGCTTTGCAACAAGTTGATTGCTTGGTGTCTCAGGATGTCCTCATTCAAAGCTTATGCTTCTCTTAACAGTACTTGGGAAGAGGGTTGCAGGAAGGAGAAAGAGAGAAATATTTATCCACTGGCTTCAATATATCTCATTGTCAAGGTCAACTTCTCTGCACCTCTGCCTGGCAGGGGAGCCCCAGGACAGAGGTGAGAGGTGCATGGTTTGCATGGGGGAGGTGCTGTCAGGTCATACCTGCAAGTGCCAGGAGGAACTGGGACCCTAACTGATAGACTCAGCAGCAGCCAAAATCCACAACCCCCAGATGCAGCAGCTAAAATCCACAAACCCCAGAACAGCATGACTGCAGCCACTCCAGCCAGAAGAGTCCAGTACATCTGATTGCCACTGCTTAATGATCAGTGTGTGCATTCCCAGCCTGGTAGCCCTGGGCAGAGCCTTGTTCAAGCTCTCACAACCTGTCAGCAAACACTACAGCCTGACTTAGAGCACCTCTCCCAGGTCCAGTAGCAAAAGGCAATGCAGCACCAAACAGTCCCAAATAAATTGCTGTCAATGGCCACAATAAAACAAGCAAGCAAAGAAAAAAACCCAGCCAGTCGATGCCAGGCAAGCATCACCAAGCCACCTGCCATGCTGTGGCACAAACTCCTATCCTTGCTGTGCATTTTGCTCTCTTGAATTCACATCTGTTCAGTTTCTCAAGGTTTGAAGCCTCCTTTGCCAGATATTGAGAATGGAGTTACAACCTGGAAACTGCAGTCATCTCTCTGCAGAGGTAGGTCTTTTGAAAATATTTACAGTGAAATATTATGCAGTCATAAAGAACAACAAAATCATGTCCTTTGCAGCAACATGAATGCAGCTGGAGATCATCATTCTAAGTGAATTATCACGGAAATAGAAAGCTGAATACTGCGTGTTCTCACTCATAAGCAGGCCCTAAACAAGGGGCACTTGTCTTTAGGACTTGGGGATCAGTACTGTCATCTCTGGAGCTCTGTTTAGGGGCTATAGGTACTATTCTGAGAAAACAGGAAAATTTCATTCAACACCAGTACACATGCATTGATTCACTAAGAATTGAGTATGATTTACCAAGCCTTGTGCTGTATGTTGGGTATGACGTGAGGATGGGGGAGGGTTACAAACTAGAACTAGCTGTAACACTCAACCTTTGAGAAGCTTTAAGTACAAGAAGAGAAGCAGACACACACACACTCACATGGACATGCAACAGATGCATATTCTTGTAAGGGCTACAAGAAACACAGGTGCAAAGGTTACAGGAGCCAGAGGAAAAAGTAAGGCTTCACTGAGGAGTGACATCTGAATTGGGTCTTGGAGGCCAAGTGAGTTTGAAAGATAGAACAGAAAAGGAGACAGACACAGCACGTGCTCAGGCATAGCTGTTTGAAAGGAGGTGGTGTGAAGGAAACGGGGGGAATTGTGTGGCATGTGTTCCTGTGGATTGGGGGAGGTAATGGAAGATGGAGCTAAAAATGTAGGTTGGAGCTAAACCTTGAAGAGTCCTGTGCCCTACAGTGGAGTCAGGAGCCTCTGAAAAATGAAGAATTTCAAGCAGAGGAAAGTTGGGGTTTTAGAAAGACCATACCAGTGACTCTGCTGGCAATGGCTGTGGGAGGAGAGAGTTAAGGACACTGGGCTATGAGACTCCTGCAATAGTCCTAGTGATGGGTAATGAGGGCCTGCATTAAGGCAGTGGCAGAGGAGACTGAAAGGAGGACATCATTTAAGAGACATTTAGGATAAAAAGTAGACTGGATTAGACTGGGTGACCAATTTAGTATAGGTGCTCAGAGATGACTATGCATCTTCTGGCTGGGATGACGGGGAAGAGAGTGTCGGCTTCAACTAAAAAATAAAAGGAGACAAGTGGAAGGAAAGACAGACAGAAAGATGGAAGGAAGGAAGGAAGGAAGGAAGGAAGGAAGGAAGGAAGGAAGGAAGGAAGGAAGGAAGGAAGGAGGATGGAGGGAGGAAAGAGAAAAGGAATGAAGGAAGGAAAGAAAGAAAGAAAGAAAATGGAAAGGAAGTAAGGAAGAGAAGAAAAGAGGCAGGAGGGGAAGCAAGTTGTGTTGGGGACAGGTAACTGGGTTTTTCTCTGTGTTTCAGATACCTGTAGGTATCTCACCTCAGACTAGTGGGTGGACCTGGTAGAAACTGAATTATTGGGATCCTAATAAAACCTCTGAAGTCTGAGGACATATATCGAATTTACTTAGATTAAGAGTGAGTAGACCAGGATCTGTGGCTCAGCTTGTAACCCCAGCACTTTGGGAGACCAAGGCAAGTGGAGTGCCTGAGACTGTGGGTTCGAGACCAGCCTGGGCAACATGGTGAGACCTTGTCTCTACAATAGATCCAAAAATTAGCTGGGCGTAGTAGTGCATGCCCATAGTTCCGGCTACTTGGAAGGCTGAGGCAGAAGGATCGCCGGAGCCCAGCAGGTCAATGCAGGGTTGGCCGTGAACGTGCCACTGCACTCCAGCCTGGGCAATGGAGTCAGACTCCAACTCAAAAAAAAAAAGAGTGAGTAGATATAGTTGAATTTGCAGAGGCGATACGTATTCATCAGGGGATTTAACTGACATTCAATTTGACAACCATTTATTGAACACCAACTATATGCCAGAAACCATGCTAGGCTCAGTATATACATAAATTAGACTTGGGCTTTGCTTTTAAGAACCTCTCACCATTTCTGGGAAAGACAGAGAAATCCATGAGTCTCTGTGACAGAAAAGTGGTGTAAAGGAAGGAACACTGGACTCTGCCACTAACTGGCTGTACGAATTTCTTATTCTCTCTGGTTCTCAATTTCCAATCACACAGTTAGAAAGTTGACCTCATGAACTCTCAGTTCCCTCACAATATTAACCACTGGCGATTCCAAGTCTCACTGTGCAGAAGACTTATGGAAGCCGGAAGGAAGACTGCTAAATGCAGGTGGGGGCTGACATCTGAGTTGGGGCTTAAAGAATAAGCAGGATTCCAGCATACGGAAATGATGGGAGATGGGGAAACAACAATGGTGGCTGGCAGCAGGCAGTGTTCTGGCCAAGGGCAGGCTCAGGAGCAGCGTGGCCTGCATGGAGTTATACAGTAGAGTGGACAGCCAGAGCTCACGCTGCTTCTCCACTGGCCTCTGCTGAGACCAGCAGCAGCAGTATCCCCTGGGAGCTTATTAGGAATGCAGAGTCTCAGGCTCCACCGAGACCCACGGAAACAGAATCTGCATTTTTGTGCAAGATCATCAGGTGATCCATAAGCACATTACATACAACATGAGAAGCCCTCCCTCTTGCTGAACAGTTTTTTTCATCCAAACTCCTCTTAACTTTCTTACTCAGCGAACAGAGGAGAACACCTCCGGGATTTCTTAGGGAGCACATTCATTGCATCAGTTTGATTACCCACAGTTTCTTCCTCATTCATTCATTCAGTCCAATGGTAATTGAGTACCTCCTATATTCCAATACGCATTCCATCTGCATCCCTGGCCTTGACTTTGCTGGGTTACTTCTGGTGGGTTGGGAGGGACCTGGGAGCTGGGATATGAAATCTGCTTAATTGGGCAGGTAGACATTGGCACGTAAGCAGGGAAGAAGTTATCCTGGAATTTGAAACAGGAGGAAGGGTGTGAAATGCAGTCCCACTGCAGGCAAATGCACAACCATCCAGGGCGCACAGGGCCCAGGCTGTCCCATTTGGCAAGCGTGGCAGCATCCCACCAGGCTCTTGGCAGTTGAGAAATGCACCGCGGAGAGCAGGACCTCTGTGCTGGAGCCCAGGAACTGTCCCAGTCCTTGTCTAGGAACGGAGGGGTTGTGTATAGAAGCAGGACTCGGAATAGGGACCAAGGCTGAAACCCACTTGAGGAAGCCAGGAGACATAATGGGCCCTGGGTTGGAAGCAACTTGTCAATAGATTTTAACAACAGCCAGGGCAAGGCCGTAACCTAGGAAACAGGCAAGAGTGGGCACGTAACACACAGACCACTGAATGCAGCTGGGGCAGCTTAAAATCTCCTCATTTCAATGCTCCATCTTCCCCAAGGAGAGGCTCAGGGTGCAGAAGATGAGACTGCAGCTGGGCAGATGTGGTGACTCATCTGTGAGGAGTCAAGGAAGCCAAGAGCTGGGGCCAGGAGGCTGGGATTGATGCCATCTTCACCTGGGAGTAGATGACAGGGGACTCCTAGGAGGCAAGAGTGCAAGGTGAGGACTAAGGGCTGGAGGGCAGGGAGGAGAGGTCATGCGAGTGGGGCAACTCACCTCGTTTCTTAGAAGCTTGGGGTCAGAGGCAACTGTGGAAAGAGGGAAGCAGTTAGCTTGGAAGGCAGTCAGCTTGGAAAGGCCCGCCCTAGCTCTTCCTTTGTGCTTGCAGTGTTAGGCCAGCCAACCCACCCACCCCTGGGGCTACAGCCTCCCGTGCACCTTGGCAAGACCCTCCGCACTCCTTAGCATCGAAAGCCAGCCTCTCTTCTTGGGCTTCCCTGTGTCGTGCTCCTCTGCTACTAGCCTCAGCCTCTCAGCTGACTGACCCTCTCCTCAATATCGCTCTGCACTTTGTTCCCCACTCTGAGCTCCCTTGGGGATCTCAAAACGCATTTACCTTTTATCTCATGAGTTTTTTTTTTAATCACAGATTTATATTATGTATTCTGAAGAGGTAGTGAGGCCTGATGTAAATTTTAAAGAGCAGACTGCGAGTCTAGACAGCCTCAGACTGTGTCAAGGGCCCGCCTCACCATCTCTGCGGCCTGGGGGAGGTCATTTAACACTCCTGCCTCAGTTGCCTCATCTAGAAGGTGAGAATAATTATATCATCCGGCTGTAGGGTTATTGTGAAGCTATATGTGTTTGCACATATGTGTGTGTTTGTGCATGTATAATTTCTCTTTCTCGTTTGTTGGGCAGTTTCTATGTGCCAGATACAGTTCTGAGTACTAAAAATAAACACATCCCCCCCATTATCATATGTATGCATGCTACAGCTCTCTCTATATATGTTACAGGTGTAGCTGTAAAGAATGTACACGTAAATATAGTGTATTAATCTATTTATAGCCCTTAGAACTGTACCTGGCACATAAGAACTGCTCAGCCCGTGATAGATATTAGAAGTTATTATTGTTGTCATATTATCTCAGACTAGTGTGAACTATGACATTCTCCAGGCAGGGCGCTCCTTTTGGCTAAGAATGAGCTTCAGGGCTCCCTGGAATTGCACTGAGAAGCAGGGTGTGGACTCTGGAGACAGACTGGTGATGAACTTGCTATATGATTGCAGGCAAGTCATTTAGGTGTCTATGCCTCAGTTTCCTCACCTGTAAAGTGGGGATAATAACAGTACTTCCCTCAAAGGGAGGTGCAAGTGTGAATGAGTTCATATATCTTAGAGGGGCGCTATGGAACCAAAGATGAGGCACAAACATGAATTCACTTGGCACAAATACAAGAAGATTGAAAAACCAGAGAGAAACACACTGGCTAAAATCACACAGCACTTTTTATGAAGCAGAGTTAGAGAGAAAAGCCTGTCCCAAAGGACCATGCTCTCCCTTTGGGATCCCAGTAGGAGGAAGCTAGGTTGGAATTCCCTCACTGTGAGGGTTCATAACACAGACTCTCAGATGTGGCCATTGTCACAGCTGCTCAATGCTCTGCTGTTTTATCAGCATTTCCACACCAATTTTCTCATTTAATCCTCACAGTGGCCCTATGAGATAGTGTGGTAGCCAGAATAATATTCTCCCAACTCAAATATGTCCATACCCTCATCCATGGAACCTGTGAATCTGTTACCTTTGATGAGAAAGAAGGTTTTTCAGGTGTGATTAAGATTATGGTCCCTGCCGGGTTCGGTGGCTCAGCCTGTAATCCTGTAATGCTTTGGGAGGCTGAGGTGAGTGGATTGCCTGAGCCTGCGGGTTCAAGACCCGCCTGGGCAACTTGGCGAGACCTCATCTCTACAATAAATCAAAAAATAGCCACGCATGGTAGCACACGCCTGTAATTCCGGCTACTCGGAAGGCTGAGGCGGATCGCCGGAGCCCAGCAGTGGAGGCTGCGGTGGCCGGGAGTGGCCACTGCACTCCAGTCTAGGCGACAGAGTGAGACTCCAACTCAAAAAATAAAAAATAAAAAAAAAGATTATGGCCCCTGAGATGGGAAGAGTAATCTGAGTTATCCAGGTGGGCCCATTAGAATCGTATGAATCCTTAGAATCAGAGAACCATTTCCAGCTGTGGTCAGAGGGAGATTCGGCTATGGAGAATGATTAGAGAAGTACAGTTTTGCTGGCTTTGAGGATGGAGGAAGGTGATACAAGCCCAGGAAAGTATGAGACCTCCAGAAGTTGGAAAAGCAAGAGCACATTAACCCCTGGAGCCTCCAGAAAGGAATGTAGCCTGCCTACACCTTGCTGTGAGCCCAGTGAGGTCATGTCAGACTTATAACCCACAGAGTTGCAAGATAATAAATGTGCACTGTTTAATTCCACAAGTTTGTGGTAATTTGTCACAGCAGCAGTAGAAAACGAATACAGGTAGGCAGGTGCTATGGATGGGATATTGGTGTCCTTCTCTAAGTTCATGTGTCAAAGCCCTAATCTCCAATGTGATGGATTTGAAAAGTGGGTTCCTTGGGAGGTAATTAGGCCATGATGTGATTAGTGTCTTTATGTAATGAGACGCTAGAGATGGTGTGCCTCCCTCTCTCTCTCTCTCTCTCTCTCTCTCTCTCTCTCTCTCTCTCTCTCTCTCTCTCTCTCTCGCAGCAAGCAGGAATCTGTATGCAAACCAGGAACAGAGCTCTCACCGGGAACCTGACCATACTGACACCTTGATCTTGGACTTTCAGCCTCCTGAACTGTGAGAAATACATTTTTGTTCTTTAAGCCACCAGTCTATAGTATTCTATCATACCAGCTGGAAATGACTAAGACAGTAGAGAATGATATAGTCTGAAGTACTGAAGCTCTGAGAAGTTAAGTGACTGGTTCTCAGATTGTACTGATGCCATCTATAGACAAGGAGAAAGGTACACTGCATGATGGGCTTAGATTTGCCACAAGCGGCATAGGGACAAGTTAAGAAACCCCAAGACCCAGAGTGAGGGCAGCTCTGTTCTTGGTTGGCCTAGATCTGCCGGGGGTGGAGAGAGAGATACAATGTTTAGATTGAGGATTGCCAGAACAGGGGCTTCCTCAGGTTCTTACCTGCATGTTTGCTTCTCTCTTGGATGCTCCTGACTTCTGAGTAAACCACGTCTCCTCCTCTAGTATTTACTTTCAAAGAAATGGAAATTTCAATCTAGTATTTACTTTCAAAGAAATGGAAATTTCAAAGGGTGCTAAAACAAGGGGATTGTCTCTTATCTGAGCTACTTCCTCCTCCTCCAGACCAAATTTGTTCTCTGGGAAGACTAGAGCCCTCCAGGTCTTGGTACAGTCCCTCCCCATCTCCTGCCCCAACTTGGCAGTCCCTGCCAAAATGCTGAGTCTTGGGCCTCACCATTAGCATACACTGGTTGCAGTTCTATCCAGGCTGGAACATTGTGGTAGGTGGGCTCTTGGGGGTCCAAGTCTGAAGGGATCCTATGAGACAGAAATGTTGATGTTTGCAGGAATCCTGACAACGTAGCTAAAATGATCACCCCCACCTCATGAGTTCTTACTGTATGGTGACTGTCAAGCCTGGAAACATAAACAAGTACATAACAAATGGCCCATGGGTATTATAATATGAATCATGATAAGTTAATATTATCCACTATTCCAGAGCTTATGGTCATCTGATGTGTAGCAGGAACTGTGCTAATGCTTATAATGATATTAAATTAGTTCTATTTTATCCTTTTTTATAGATTTTTTAAAAAGGAGATTCCACAAGGTAAAATGACTAAGACCATGTAATCAGAAAGGGGAAGAGCCACGAGTCAAACCTGGCTCCGAGACCTGCACTCCCAGAGAGATCAGGAATCAGAAAGGCTCAGAGAAATGCTGCATTAGCTTGTTCAGGGAGAGTTAGTGAATCATGGTGCAGCTCCTAAGGTCAGCCTTTGGGATACCGATGGCGGCCCCTTCTTCATCAGCTCTACCTCCTGCTGGCAGAGTGACTTTGGTCTCTCTGGGTGGCCACATCATCTGGCTCCATCTTCTTGGTTGTCATCACAACAGATGTTCTTTAGATTGGCCAGATCCAGAGATTTCCAGACTGACTAAACTAAGATCATCTCAAGGCAGGGATGGAATTAAGTGGTCTCAGCAACATTCAGACAACCAAGCCAACAGTCATCCAAGGATGCAGGCTAATAAATGAAAAACAATTAACCCTTGATGTAGGGAGAAGGCCTTTACAGCTAAGGTTGTAAGTGAGGAGATCCTGGGAATTGCCTCGAGGTGTCCTCAGGGAAGTGACAACATAAACAGGACACAGCGCATCTCAGCAACACCCAGCAGAAACTGCTCTTTGGGATAATCAGATTCCATTCCATTTTTCTTTCTGGCAAGCATTTCATTGATCACACAGGAATACAGCCCAGGTCTTACCTGGAGGGCTCAGAGGACGACCTTCCCCCTACAAAAGAAAGCAGAGGGGTGTTGGAGTCAGGAAAAGGAGACCTTCATGGGGGACATAACCCATAGAAGGCTTGCCCCGAGACTGCTGAGAGTTGCTATCCCTGAAGTTTGAATCCTTTGCTATGCCCAAGAAAGGCAGCAGATTAGGCAAAAACTACTCATCCTGGCCTAGTTATATATAAGGGAGAGGCCACAATCTATCTTCCTTTCATCTGCAGCTTTTTGTGTTTTATTTATTTATTTTGAGTCAGAGTCTCACTCTGTTGCCCAGGCTGTAGTGTAGTGGCACACTCACGGCCACCGCAACCTCAACCTGCTGGGCTCAGGCAGTCTTTTTGCCTGAGCATTCCAAGTAGCTGGAACTACAGGCATGCACCACCACGCCCAGCTACTTTTTTGTTTTTAGTTGTAGAGACGAGGTCTCACCAAGTTGTCCAGGCTGGTTTCGAACCCCTGGACTCAGGCAATCCTCTCACCTCCGCCTCTCAAAGTTCTGGGATTACAGGCATGAGCCACTGTGCCCAGCCCTCACCTGCAGCCTTTAAAGACAATGATCAGTAGCTGTAGGCAAGAAAATAAACTTGATTGGTTATAAAAATAGTGTACATTTTAAAAATCAGTAGATTACCAAATTTTATTTGGTTTCTGTTTTCACTTCTATTTTTTATAGTCTTTCTCCTCCCTTTCCCAGTCCTCAGGGATCTCTTAAGGGTAGAGAGGGAGATACAGTAAATCCCCTACATATGATCCTTCTAGTTATAAACTTGAACGATGCACACCTGTGGTTTTTATGTATTTCTCTCCACCAGGTGTCAGTATAGCCTGTTTAATGCATACAATACTACATAGCCGACTATGTTAGTTGGATACCTAGGCTAACTTAGTTGGACTTAAAGAAAATTGGACTTACAAACACTCTCTTGGTACAGAACTCGTTCATATTTTGGGAAGTTTCTGTACTCCGCAATTTATGACGTTGGATAAGCTACATCTCATCGAAGTATCTTGCACTCTATAGGGCTGTTTTGGGAGTTTTACATTTAATGAAAGGAATTCTGGGGAACTCAAAAGGAAAGGTGAAGGATTGTGGAAAGGGAGCAAAGGAGCTCTTGAGAGCCTGGGGATGAACACAAAGCCAGCATGAGCCTGAGGGAATAGAGCTGGGAAGGGTATGATGTGCCCAGGAGTTACCCACCTGTTTTTCTCAAGAACCAGAAGTAGAGCAGCAGTGCCCCAGCAATGAGGCCTGTCAAGCCAAGCAGCCCCCAGGTGACTCCTGTGGCAACAGCACCACTTCTGCTGTCGATCAGCCCTGAGGGGAGACCCCACGCATGAGCCACAGGGAGAGGCTTGTAGTCTTGAACTGCCCTGACCTCTGAAGCTGATACCTGGGCCTGGGACAGAGTATGAACCTAGGTGACCAGGATCCCTGCAGCTATGCAGGCACTGGTGTGGCCTAGGAAACGACTCCTGTCCTTGTGAGGAAACTTGTCTCTGTGCTTGAGGCAAGGGTTGAGGGTCAGAATAGATGGTGGCCAGTGAGACAAGAGGCAACCAGCAAAGACTTCTCAGTTCAGTGATGCGCTTTCCTTTTCCCTGCCCAGTATCATCATTTCAGAAACACTTCAGAAAATAACGACTTCGAGAACTCTACCAACTTTGTGTACTTGTCCCTGAGAAGTCAAGCATCCTGAGGATTATCAGAGTGTCCTTGAAGGAAATACTTTGTCCACATCTGTGGTATGGCCTGCACATAAGGAACTTACTTGCGATGGAAAGTGTCATCACCTCACTGCGTTGGGCCCACACGCCATTGTCAGCCTCACAGGAGTAGTTTCCAGAATGTTCTGTTGTCAGAGAGAGGTTGAAGGACGTTCCTCCTCCAGAGGGGGCTGAGCTATTACCCAGGGTGACATCCTCATGATAAAACCGGTACAAGATCGGGGGAGAGCCTGTCAGGGCCTCACAGCGAAGCTCCACCATGTCCCCCACCATAGCCTGGGCCCTGGGAGCCCTGAGGGTGAGGATGGGGCGTGACACTGGAACTGAGGGAAAATAAAGAGTCAATAATAGTTTCTACTGCTAACATATTTGTAAGAAACAAAAGGCATTATGAAGAAATGTCAAAAGTCAGATCTCAATCTTGGCAAAATAGATTGAAACACATATGATAGACAAAGCTAATTACCTTGATCTTCATATAGTTTTCAGTGGATAAAAAATATCTAACAGAAAAGTGTAAAGGGTGAGTAAGTCAAGTAAGTCACCGATAACTTCAAATACCCAAAAACATAAAAAGATTGTCATCTTCATTACTGATTAAATATATACAAATAAAAACCACAAGATTCTATCATCTCCATTCATCAGATAGTCAAGGCTTAAGTAAACTGATAATATTAATGAGATCGTGGATTAACAGGCACCTTGATGTGCCCTAGGTGGGAATACAAATTTAAGACACCTCCTAGAAAGGCAATTTGGCTGTGTCTACCAAATGTAAAATGCATATAAATTTTGACCCACCAAATCCACTCCTAGGATCATCACCATTAAAAATACTGACAAAAGATACGTGCTACAATATCTGAACAGAATTGCTATTGTAGCATTTTTATGTCAGCTAAAGACTAGAGAGAACCTAGTAGACTGGGTAATAAAATATGAAAGATATTCAAAATGCATTTCAGAAACTAAAGTCAGGATGTATTTTATGTAAAAAATGTAAGTCACATAACTTTTTAATATATGTGTAATAAGACTGTATCTTTGTTAAAAATTCTATGCCATTATGTTTATAGAATATTTCTAGAAGAATATAGGTGAAACAGTTAATAGTGGTTATGTCTGAAAAATATTATGATATGAAATGTGTGGGAGCAGGTGGAAAGAGACCCTTACCCTTCAATATTTGCTCTTTTGTATTATTTGATTTTTTCGATCATGAAGATTCATGCATTCTTTCAAAGTAACAAGTTATTAAAAACTAAAAAGTTGTATTTAAATGTGGTCACCATGGATGAAAAAATGCCATGTCTTAGTCTAATGTTAAGAGTGAGATAGGACATGCTTCAACCTGGTTTTACCCTTGCTATCTGTGTGTGTAAACTAGGTAATTCACCTCTCTATGCCTCAGTTTCCTGTTTTCAAATTTGGGATAAAAGTGTTTTGATATTTATCCTCATAGGTTTATCTTAATGATTAAATGAGCTATTGCAGATCAAGCACTAAGCACAGCGCCTGGCACATGGCTCAGTCAGTGTTGAAGATGATGATGGTGATGATGAGAAATATCCTTTTTTCTGGCAGTTCCTCTTTTCTATGACCCGTGTCCTAGTTTCAGGACTCAGACACAATTCATCTAGGCTTGACAAGAGTCCCTTAGCTGTGATAACAGCAGCAGCAGAAATAACATGCATTTGCACCAGGGAATTACAGAAATAAGGGAGTAGGGATTAGATCATGAATACAGAGTGTAGGAGATATGATATGCTGGTTTTCTGTGTTGTGAGGAGAGAGGGAGCAGGCCTCCAGGAGTGGTACAAGCCTGTGTGGTGGCTCAAAGGGGTAAGTGTATAAACCATGTAGCAAGAGTCCTTGCAAATCGTAGGAAAATTGGCTGAGACTGGTGCTACTGGTGGGGGAAGAGGAATGAGCTGGTTGAATGGGAAAAAACAAATCTCATCATTTCCTGGATGCCAGTGAGATGGCTGCACCAGCCACCTTGATGAGATGCTGGACCCTGGGCCACATGCCCAGAGCAACATGCTCATATGACTCTGACTCTCTCCAAAAGAGACTAAGGGCACTTACTTTGCATGACCAGGCTGGTGTTTGCATACCATTGCATGGTCCCATTTCTCTGGGATGTATCCCAGGAACAGGAACAAAACAGCTTCTCCTTTTCCATACCCCTTCCAGGACCTTTGAGTCTGCATACTCCATGTTCTCTGTCCACCAAAATAATGGAATTCTAGGGTCTGGAATGACTACGATTTTCATCTAGTCTGATTTTCCCACTGAGGTAACTATAGAAAGATCCTTGGCCAAGGTCATACAGCTAGTTATCTTCAGAGCCAAGTTTAGAACATTAGCCTTCAGCATACTTTTGTGATCCCCCAGTCCTCTCTAAATAAGAGTTTAGAGATTTGACTTGTAGGTATAATTACCAAACGGATTCATAACTCATAAGATTAGCTTTCCTTGGGTTATAACACTTGATGGCAAGAGGTCATAGGACAGCTTAGGGAAGGGAGGAATTTTTTTGAAGGATGGCTGTTTCCATTCCATGTCATCCTATTCTTGCTTCTCTGCCCTGGCCACCTGTGTCTCTCCTGAAAGGCTGTGTACATAGCTCATGTTTGCCTAGGATTTTTAATGTGGAGATGGAGCAATTAAATTTTCCCTGGTAATGAGCTCAAGAGTAGAGGTTTATTGGGAATCAGTGAAACAAGAACCCTGGCAAGAAATGGCCTAATCTTTTGGGGGTTGATGGGAGCAGAAAAACCCCTACTCAGAATTCTTCATATCATAATTTCAGATCAAAAAATAGTCTATGTTCTATAAAGTCTTATTTGCATTTTTAGTGAGGAGTTTTGATCACATTCAAGAAGGTAGCTTGTACTATGCTGCTGGGAGAATCCAGGATCCTGAAACTGTACTACAGAAAGGGTCTCAGGCTTTCACATGGAAGTTGTGCAGACAGGAAACATTCTGGGATGCCACTCCAGCAAATAACTCTGAGGAGCACTGTAGTTCTGTTTTCAGCTGCTGGGGTTACAAGGTTCAGACAGCTCTTGGTTGTGCTGCTGGTATGCAGGGCCAACTCACCTGTAACTATGAGTGTCACCACCTTACTATGCTGGGCTATCAGACCATTGTTGGCCTCACAGGAGTAGTTCCCAGAATGTTCTGCAGTCAGAGAGAGGTTGATAGATGCTTCTCCTCCAGAGGAGGCTAAGCTGTTTCCCAGGGTGACATCTTCGTGATAAAACTGGTACAGGATTGGAGGAGAGCCTTTCAGGGCCTCACAGTGAAGCTCTACCACGTCTCCCACCACAGCCTGGGCCCCCAAATTCCTGAAGGTGAGGACAGGGTGTGACACTGGAACTAAGGGAGGAAAAGCAGTTAACTATCAGCTCTTTTTGTTCAAACATATTCTTCTATACTAAAGACATTTCAAATGGGAAAATGGTTTTCTTGGTTTTTAAGGGCCTTGTGACATTACTCAGAACTCAGGTATAATATATCTTCAGATCTTCAGAAACAATAGCATTCATTAATTGCTACAAACAGTTTGGAGTGAATATTGAAACTCAGGTGCATTTGAGGAAACTGAAAACAAAGATTAAACTAAAACCCAAGTATGTTAGAAATCAAAGGACAACTGGGGAAGAGGAGACATCAGTTCAAAAGAAAAGAAAGGACGGTAGAGACCTATTGCTTACATAACCAGGGATGTCATTGAGTTTGGGCTGCATCAGAAATGGGATCAGCAAAAGAATTAATGTTGATAAATTTATTTGTTGATTTTTATATTCATTCATCAGAAATTAATTGAACAAAAGCAAAACAATAATTGAGCCATCGATAAGTCCCAAGAACAGCTTTACATGCTGGGGATTCAGTGAGGAAGGAACATAGTCCCTACTCTCAGATAGTCTACAATCTGGAAGGATGATACAAAAGCACAAATATAAAGTTAAAACATTGATAATTGATACAAAATAAAGAACCAGGTGCTACGAAATGTGTGATATTGGGACCTGACCTAGTATGGATTAGTAAGGGAAATCTTCCTCAGAAAGGTACATTGGAAGTTAACCAGATGAAGCAAGAAGTAGAGAGTGTGCCAGGCAGGCAAACAGTATGTGCGAAAGCCCCGAGTTGGGAAGAAGGTTGGCACATTTGAGTTGTTGAAATAAGGTGGCAACAGCACTAAGAGTAAGATCTGAAATGTTCTGGGAAATAGGAGGTTGGAGAGTTAGGCTGAGCTTCATCACCATGTTAAGGATTTTGATTTTTCCTCACAGAGCAATGGGAAGTCTACACATCTGTCAATACAGGGGTGTGGGGTGATCAAATTTGTCTTGTTAAAAGAGAGTACTGATCTCACTGCACAGAAAAGGACCAGTGGAACAGAAGTGGAATGGAAAGGTATCTCAGTGGCATTGCAGTAGAAGAAATGATGGCTATGACTAGGCAGCAGTGGTAGAGGTAGAAAGAGATCTAAGAAATAATTAGGGAGTCAAATCAACAGGACTTAGTGATTAACTGGCTGTGAGGAGGGGTGGGGGGAAATGTCAAGGAAGATATTGGGTTTCTGCCTTGTGTATCTGGATGAAGGGAGATGTCTTTCACAGAGGTAGGGACCCTCAGAAGAACAGGTCTGAGGGAAATGTCAGGTGCTCAGTCTTAGAGATGTTCAGGTTGATGAACTTTTGAGATATTTGAGTAGAGACATGGCATGTGCAGGTGTTCTGGTAGGAAGGCTCTTTTAGAGAAGTAGACAGCAAGGTCATTTATAGATGACATACCCAGGATCATCTAGTGAAAGAATATAGATAAGGGAAGAGGGCACAGGTCAAAAGCTCTGGAACAAGCCAATGCTTAAAAGTTGTCTGGTGAGGGAGAAGCCTGGAAAAAAGACTGAAGGAGTGGCCCAAGGGAGAGGAGAATCAAAAGGAGGTGGAGCCACTGAAGCCCAGGAAGGTGGGGGAGGGGATTCAAGAAGGAAGAAAGAATAAAAATATATAGAGTATTTCTGAGAGATCAAGTAAGAGGTTGATTGGAAAATGGCCATTGGATTTAAAACTGTGAAGGTCATTGATGACCTTTATGAGAACCATTTTGGTGGAGAGGCTGGAAGAACCTAGTAGATTGGAACCCAGTGGATAACGAGGAAATGGAGACAACCTAGGTAGTTCAACACTTTGAAGTTTAGCCATGTTTGAGCAATGGGTGGAGGCATAAGTGAGATCAAGAGAGGGTTTTTCTTAGATATGGGAGAAGTACGGTGTGTTGAATGCCAATGGGTAGGATCCTATAGAAAGAGAGATGTTGGAGCCCATAGGAGAGCAAAGGATAACTGAGTATACAGTTTCTGAGAATGCATGAAAGGATGGAATCCAGTGATCAGATGGAAGTGTTCATCTGACATAGGGACCAGAATCCCCTTCTCCATACCTTAGGAAGAGGAGACATGAGACTCAATTTGCTGGTAGGAATTGAGGGTGTTATTGTCATATGAGTTAAGGAGGGAATAGAGTTGTTAATAAACTAGGTTGCGTTGAGGTCTGAGAACCATAGTGATAAGAGGAATTGAAGTAGAAAGCTAGAAGGGTATTGACAGATAATAGGGGTTTAAAATTGTCATTTTGGAGATGGAGCAGTGTATTTATTTATTTATTCATTCACTTATTTATTTTAAAGATGTGGTGTATACTTCAGGATTAGGTTTGTAAATGGTCATCATACAGGTGAATCAGTGTGTTTATGTGGGAGTTTGTGACATGGAGAAGAGAAGCGATCATGGTGTTGAGTGGACCATACATGAGAGCCATAAAATGATGGTATAATATGGGGTGGAGAGGAAGACTGCGAGTGAGGTGCCAAAGCCTTCACTGAGGGTGGACATTACTGGGAGTCAACCCATGACAGAGACAAGTGGGAGATGGTGATATTGCTGAACAGAACAGTGACAAATAAAGAGGTAGGAGAATGATGTTGGGATATCTTTTTTTTTAAGCTGGATTTATTAAGAGGACAGAAAAACTCCCACAGTGGGAGGGAACCCAAAGGGGTTACCTGGGATATCTTCTAACAAGAATCCTGGGTGGGAAGTCAAGCTATTCTTGGACGGGTCAGGAAAAGGATAGAGAGAAATTTGTGAGTGAATAAGAGAATATTAGTTGACAGAAAGAGAAAACTACAATGAAATATCTTCCAAGGTGAGACACATGGAACTTCATAACTTATTTTCTAACTGATCACTGTTGACCAGGACACAGTTTGTGGTTTGAAAAGCCTTTACTCCTATGTTAGGGAGTTTTGGTCACAGTGATTGAAGACTGTTGCTACCAGGAAAAGTACAGCAAATGAAGGGAAGGTGCAAGCTTCTGATATGTAGAATCTTAAACTCTCAGATTGTGGCTGTGTAGGCAACAGGCCTGACATGATGTCACACAGCAAATGGCTCTGTGAGAACCATAGTTCTAATATTGGCCACTGGGAAAGGTAGAGGAGATGGTTTGCTCCTTTTTGTGCTGCTAGTTGGAAGGTCAACTTACCTATAACACTGAGTAATATTGTGTCACTGAGCTGGGCCCCCAGACCATTTTCAGCCATACAGGAGTAGCTTCCAGAATGTCCTGCAGTCAGAGAGAAGTTGAAGGACGCTCCCCCACCAGAGAGGGCTGAACTGCTTCTGAGGGTGACATCCTCATGATAAAATCGATACAGGATCGGAGAACCTCTCAGGGCCTCACAGTGAAGCTCTACCATGTCTCCCACAACAGTCTGGGCCCTGGGAGTCCTGAGGGTGAGGACGGGGCGTGACACTGGAACTGAGGGACAAAATGAGCTAGTTGACATCAATATTTTAAAAAATAAAAACAGCTCCTCAACGACAAAAATCAAACTTTACAGAATCACATAAAGTAAAAATTACAAGTTTTACTGTTTTCTTTATTTTTATTTTCCAGAAAGTACCTCTGTTGTGTATTTGGTGATACTTTCCAGATCTTTTCCATGTGAGTATACTCATTCATATTAACACATATATAAATATATTTTAAAAACACACATGCATGGGATAACAATATACATACTGCTTTTTCTCCTCAAAAACATATTATGGGTATCTTTCTGTGTTATTACTTACATAACTACATCATTAACTTTTAAAAATCAAATTTATAATTAACACAAAATAAAGTGCAACTCTTTTAAACTTACAACTTGATAATTTTGGGTAAATAGTACCTGATTACTCTTAACAACCACGAAGTATTCCATTGTATGGATTTGCCATAATACATTTAAGCAATTCCCCAATAATGGATGTTTGGGTTGTTGTTGTTTCTTAAATTTCAAATAATGTTGCATTAAGTATTCTTTTTTTTTTTTTGAGTTGGAGTCTCACTCTGTCGCCCAGACTGGAGTGCAGTGGCCGCTCCCGGCCACCACAACCTCGCCTGCTGGGCTCCGGCGATCCTTCCACCTCAGCCTTCCAAGTAGCTGGAATTACAGGCATGCGCTACCACACCCGGCTGATTTTTTGATTTATTGTAGAGATGAGGTCTCGCTGCCCAGGCGGGTCTCGAACCCGCGGGCTCACGCAATCCACTCAACTCAGCCTCCCAAAGGCGTGAGATTACAGGCTGAGCCACCGAGCCTGGCTGCATTAAGTATTCTTGACTCAAGGAAACAAGAAGGTACATGCAGATTCTGAAGGGGTGGGTGAGGGAGGGATTTGGGCTACAGGTGGGTGATTGGCAGGAACTCAGGGCTTACTTGTAATGAAGAGGCTCACTGCCTTGCTGAGTTGGGGGCCCATGCCATTGTCAGCAGTGCAGTAGTAGTTCCCAGAATCCTTCGCAGTCAGAGAGAAGTTGAAGGTTGCTCCTCTTTCAGAGTGGATTAAGTTTCTCCACAGGAGGTTATTCTCATGATAAAAATTATACAGGATAGGCAGAGAGCCTCTCTGGACTGTGCAGCTAAGTGTCACCATGGCTCCTTCAAAAGCCAAGTCCTCAGGAGAGCTGAGGGTGAGGACAGGGTGAGGCACAGGGACTGAGAGAGAGAGAAAATTCATTAAGAGTTGCTTCTGCCTCTTACCATGTATTTCAATGCATGGCCAGTGCAAATGCCCAGTCTCCAGTCGCCACCTTATTTTGATGCCACAAGACCTACAGCCTTATCTACACCTGCTCCATACCTCTTCCCTCTGTCACATGATCATAGAAGAGCCATCCTTGACCTGTTGAAGTCATTCCGGGTCTTCTCAGTCCCTATGCTCCATTTCTTGCATCTCTAGGGTTGGCCTCAAGGCTTTGCCCTTGACCCTTTTCCCTTCCAGATTCAGGACTCTTTCCTCTGCCCCTACCCACTCTGTGTACCCAGACTGACCCTATTTACATGTAAGAAAACTAAGTCAGGGAGAGGCTAGGAGACCTGCTTGTGAAGGTTGTTTCCCGGGCAGCTGGGACTGGGCTCTGTCTCCTAATGCTTAGCCCAGTGATGATCACATCATCTCCTTAAAAAGTGAGCCTGGAGTTTGCCATGAGTGAAGGGTGACACAGGGCTCCACAGAAGTTGTTTTCCCCACTACCACAACTGCCACAGCAGTTCTGAGGGCAGGATGGTGGCGTGCATTGGTAAGGAAGGTGATGTAGTCTGGTGTTTATGGTGACATCCATGAACTATGATATATTATGCCTCCAGAGTTACATCTTTGGAGTAACTGTAATGTTGTTACCTGTCTCTATATCTTACATTAATTTTCATATTGGTTGTTGTTAATAATTAACTGTTCATTGGGACAAAAGATACTATTATATCCCAGGGAAAGATAAATAATTTGGGAGTTATTGAGAACAACAGGTTGATTGGAAACTCAAGTGTCTGGGGATCTAGAGGACACAGAGAAAAGTATTTCATATTTGAGTTCTATAGAAGTTAGAGGCTGTGGACTGGGATGGAGAGGGAGAGAGAGAGAGAGAGAGAGAGAAGCACTACAGAGACATTCATAATGGCATCCTGCTGGTGGAAGAATGAGCCCAGAGACAGACATTTTCTCAGAATGCTAGAAACCAATGGGGACATTAGAATGGCCTGGAGAAGAAGCAGGAAACAGATAAAAAAGCAGAAATTGAAGATGGCGATGGCATAGGTGAACTGGTGAGATTCTCTGAACGTGAGTTCCCAAAAAGGCTATTACTTCTCTTCCCCCATCCCCCAGTCCACCACCAACCGTGCTGGTGCCAGGCAGGAACTTCGGTCCCACGCAGGGCCAGATATTGTGGCCCCCTACTGCTGCTGTTCTACTGTGTGTGTGGGAATCTCCAGTCCCAGCCCTCTCCAGCTCCCTCCCTGGCTGCATTGTCTCCAGCCCAGCACCTGGCACCAAGCCGCCGGTCACACAGGGAGGCTCTGGGCACCTGGCCCTCAGAGACACCGGTCCCATTCCTGGCTGAAGTACCCTATGGGGGCCCAGAGCCACTCTCGCTGCTCACCACCTGCCCTTTGGAGCTTTGGATCTCTGGAACTCCGGGCCCACCCTGGCTGAGGCATTCAGCACAAGACCCCAAGCTGGGGGACCCAGACAAGTGGAAAAAAACAGATCTGCTTAAACTGCCTTGCCATTCTCCAGGCAGAGACTTCCATTGCTCTGCCCACCTATCAACAAACTTTACCTCATTTCCTAAGGTCAGATATTGCAGCCCCCTGCTGCTGCTATTCCACTGTGTGCGTGGGAGTCTTGAGTCCCAGCCCCCTCTGGCTCCCTCCCTGGCTGAATTGTCTCCAGCCCGGCACCCGGCACCAAGCCGCCGGTCACACAGGGAGGCTCTGGGCGCCTAGCCCTCAGAGACACCGGTCTCATTCCTGGCTGAAGTACCCTGTGGGGGGCCCAGAGCCACTCTCACCACCCACTGCCTGCCCTTTGGAGCTTTGGAGCTCTGGAACTCTGGGCCTACCCTGGCTGAGGCACTCAGCATGAGACCCCAAGCCGGGGGACACAGACAAGTGGAGAAAAACAGATCTGCTTAAACTACCTTGCTATTCTCCAGGCAGAGACTTCCATCGCCCCACCCACCTATCAACAAACTTTACCTCAGTTCCTAAGGCAACAGCGCGAAACAGGAGACAAAGCCCCACCCCTACGCTGCAACGAAAAACAAAAGGGAGAGGCTGGAATCGGAGATCAGAGAAGTGACTCTAGTCTGATCGCTTATTTTGACTTATGATTTTATCATTGAAACTGTTGGTTTAGATCATATTTGTTGTTTACCTTCTGACTTACACTGTTTCTCGATTTTATTGGCCTGTCTCTGTGTAGCTATCAGTACTCTTTAGGGAATCTTTCTTACATGTCTTTCTTCACTTCTTCCTGGCCTTGTGTCTGTTTCTCACCTGATAGTTGGTATGTATATCTGTTTTCCCTCTCTCACTTCTCTCTTTCTAACTCCCCATTGACCTCCCCTTCCTTCATTATTTTCCTCTTTTATATGCCCCCTTTTTAAATCTAGGGACCAAGACTACATACTGCTGAATAGACAGACTGCAAAGCAGAGGGAAAAGTGAGCAAAGCCAGAAGACCCTCAGAAGGAAGAACAGGACATTGCAGAAGAGAAATAAAAGCAACCCCACCTTCCCTCAAAAACAGAATTGAAGACGGGGGGGAAGGGGGAGAGGGAGAAAAATCTACAGAAATGAAGAAAAACCAAAAGAAGAGTATGAGTCTCTCCCAGACAGCTGGGAGAGCAGACATTGAGAAAACTGACTTTGGAATGCAAACAATGAAAAGCCCCCAGAATGAAGGGTCTCAAACTGCAAATGTAGATATCAAGACAATAATGGAGAGATTAAAAAGAATTGAGGAGACACAAGAAGAAACTAGGAAGGAGCTGATATCTGAGATAACAGTAATAAAGAATACTGTGAATGAAATAAATAACAAACTGATAAGCATGGAAAGCAGAATTACCCAAGCAGAAGAAAGAATCTCAGAGCTTGAGGACCAAAATATAGAAATAACCCAAGCTCTTAAAAGCACAGAAAATAAGCTCAAAAAGACAGAACAAAACCTTTAAGAGATGAGTGACTACTTCAAGAGGCCTAATCTAAGAGTAATAGGACTCCCTGAGGCAGAAGGAGAAACAGAGACCACATTGGAACAAACTTTCCATGAGATCATTCAAGAAAACTTCCCTTATCTAATCAGGGATGCAAAAATTCAAACACAAGAGATTCAGAGAACCCCTGCAAGTCAACAAAGGAGAAGACCAACTCCTAGACACATAATAATTCACCTAAACAAAGTAGACACAAAAGAAAAAATCCTAAAGGCAGCAGGAGAAAAAGGCCAGATCACCTACCATGGAAGACCAATCAGAATAGCAGCAGATTTATCTGCAGAAATCCCACAGGCTAGGAGAGCTTGGAGCCCTATCTTCAAAGTCCTAAAAGATAAACAATTTCAACCAAGAATAACCTACCCAGCCAAGCTAAGCTTCATCAGTGAGGGAGAATTGAAATCTTTCCCAGATATCCAATCCCTAAGAACTTATGCTGCCACCAAACCATCTCCACATGAAACACTTAAGAAAGTACTAAACACAGAAGAAAAGGAAAAAAGAACAACGTTCTTCACAAGAGTATAGGGAAAAGAATAAAATATACACGAACCAACCCCAAAACCAAAAGAAAGACAAAAAAAAAAAAAAGAAAAAACAAGTGGAAGAACAACAACTCAATAAGAACTCCATGATAGGGACGAACTCTCACATTTCAATAATTAGTCTGAATGTGAATGGACTAAACGCACCCCTGAAAAGACATAGAATGACAAAATGGATAAAATATCACCAGGCAACAATATACTGCCTTCAAGAGACCCATCTCACTAGAAAGGACATACACAGACTCAAAGTAAGAGGATGGGAAACAAATTTTCAGGCGAATGGAACACAAAAGAAAGGAGGAGTCGCGATCCTAATTTCAGACAAAATACCATTTAAGCTATCAAAAATTAAAAAAGATACAGAGGGCCACTACATAATGATAAAAGGTTCACTCCATCAACAAGAAATATCTATCCTAAACATATATGCACCCAACATAGGTGCGCCAACATTCATAAAGCAACTTCTAGGAAAACTAAAGAAAGACATTGACTCTAACACCATAATAACTGGGGACTTTAATACACCACTCACAGCCTTAGACAGATCATCAGGACAAAAAATCAGCAAGGAGATCCGGAACCTCAATGAGACTCTGGACCAAATGGACTTAATTGATACCTATAGAACACTCCATCCAAAGACCACAGAATACACATTCTACTCATCACCACATGGAACATATTCTAAGATCGACCACATAATTGGACACAAATCAAGTATAAGTAAATTTAAAAGGACTGAAATTTTGCCATGCACCTTTTCGGACCACAGTGGAATAAAAATAAACATTGACACCAACAAAGTCCCCCCAAAACCCACAAAGACATGGACACTAAACAGCATGATGCTAAATAACTCCTGGGTTAATGATGAAATCAAAACAGAGATCAAAAGATACCTGGAAACAAATGAAAATGAAACATCTTACCAAAATCTCTGGGATGCCTTAAAAGCTGTAATAAGAGGGGAATTTATGTCCCTACAAACACACATGAGGAAAATGGAAGGAACACAAATTAACAACCTAACAAGCCACCTAAAGAAGCTGGAAAAGCAAGACCACAAAAACCCTAATTTCAGCAGAAGAATCCAGATCACCAAAATAAAAGCCCAAATCCAGGACATAGAAGACAAAAAGATAATACAAAAAAATCAATGAAACAAAAAGCTGGTTCTTTGAAAGAATAAACAAGATCAATGGTCCCTTAGCTAGAGTGACCAAGAAAAATGAGAAAAAAGCCAAATAAGCACAATCAGAAACACAAATGACGAAGTCACATCTGACCCTGAAGAAATACAAAAGATCATTAGAGACTACTATGTACACTTGTATGGAAACAAACTTGAAAACCTTAAGGAGATGGAGGACTTTCTGACATCACACAACCTACCTAAGTTGGAACAAGAAGAAGTTGAGACTCTAAATAGACTAATAACAACCAAGGAAATCGACTACATAATAAGAAAACTTCCTACCAAAAAAGCCCTGGACCAGATGGCTTTCCAGCAGAATTCTACAAGACATTTAAGGAGGAGCTGATACCAATCCTACTGAAGGTATTCCAGGTGACTGAAAAAGATGGAATGCTCCCCAAATCATTTTACGAAGCCAACATCACATTGATACCCAAGCCAGGTAAAGATCCAACAAAGAAAGAGAACTACAGGCCAATATCGTTGATGAACATAGATGCTAAAATTTACAACAAGATCCTAGCAAACCGGATTCAGCATACATCTCAAAAATCATCCATCATGACCAAGTAGGCTTCATTCCTGGGATGCAAGGCTGGTTCAACATTCGTAAAACCATAAATGTAATTAAATACATCAACAGATGTCAAAACAAAAACCACATGATTACATCATTAGATGCAGAAAAAGCTTTTGATAAAATCCAGCACCCCTTCTTGATAAAAACCCTTGAACATCTAGGCATACGGGGAACATACCTCAAAATAGTAAAAGTCATCTACGAGAAACCCACAGCAAGCATACTCCTAAATAGAAAAAAATTAGAACCATTTCCCCTGAAAACTGGAACAAGACAAGGATGCCCACTCTCACCCCTCCTGTTCAACATAGTATTGGAAGTCCTGACTCGAGCAATCAGAGAAGAGGAGGCAATCAGGGGTATCCAAATAGGAAAAGAGGAAGTCAAGTTATCTCTCTTTGCAGATGATATGATTATGTACCTTGAAAACCCAAGAGAATCTGTCAAAAACCTCCTTACACTGATAAAGGCCTTTGGCAAAGTCTCAGGATACAAAATAAATGTACAAAAGACAATCGCATTTCTCTACACCAATAATAAACAAACAGAAACCCAAATAAAAAACACAATTCCATTCACAATAGCCACAAAAAAAATGAAATACCTTGGCATCTTCCTAACCAGAGACGTGAAAGACCTTTACAAGGAAAACTACAAAACACTGCTCAAAGAAATCAAAGTTGACACAAACAAGTGAAAAAAATATCCCATGCTCATGGATCGGAAGAATCAACATTGTGAAGATGTCTATCTTACCTAAGGCAATCTACAAATTCAATGCAATACCCATCAAATTACCAGCAACATTCTTCTCAGACCTAGAAAAAACAATGCAGGAATTCATATGAAAACACAAACGTCCAAGAATAACCAGAACAATCCTCAGCAAAAAAAACAAAGCAGGTGGTATCACATTACCAGACTTCAAACTTTACTATAAAGCTACAATCATCAAAACAGCTTGGTATTGGTATAGGAACAGGCATCTAGATCAATGGAATATAATTGAGATTCCAGAAGCAAAATCTCAATTTCTCAACCAATTTGTCTTTGGCAAGGCCTCCACCACCTACCACTGGGGAGAGGAGAGCCTATTCAGTAAATAGCGCTGGGAAAACTGGCTGACCACATGCAGAAGATTGAAACAGGACCCCTATCTATCCCCATGCACAAAGGTTAACTCCAAATGGATCAGGGACCTAAATGTAAAATCTCAAACCATAAGAACCTTAGAAAATGAAGGACATACCCTCATGGAAATTGGAAACTGGCATCCAATTCCTGTACAAAACCCGAAACCCACAGGACTTAAGAGAGAAGATAGACAAATGGGACCTTATTAAACTGACAAGCTTCTGCAAAGTCTAAGAAACGATCAAGAGAGCAGGGAGACAGCCCACAGACAGGGAAAAAGTATTTGCTAACTCCAGGTCTGACAAAGGCTTAATATCCTGGATCTACAAGGAACTCAAATGTGCTGAAAAGAAAAAAACAAACAACCCCATTATAAAATGGGCAAAAGATATGAACAGACACTTCACAAAGGAAGACATCCGAGCAGCCAACAAACACACGAAGAAATGTTCAACCCCATTAATCATCAGGGAGATGCAAATCAAAACCACCCTGAGATACCACCTAACCCCAGTTAGAATGGCAATTATCAACAAGTCAAAAAATAACAGCTGCTGGATAGGGTGTGGCGAAAAGGGAACACGTCTACACTGTTGGTGGGAGTGTAAACTAGTGCAACCTCTGTGGAAAGCAGTGTGGTGATTCCTAAAAGCTCTAAATACCAACCTCCCATATGACCCCACAATCCCCCTGCTGGGAATATATCCTGAAGAACACAAATCACTCTATAAAAAAGATACCTGCACACGCATGTTTATCGCAGCATTGTTCACAATAGCAAGAACCTGGAAACAACCATGCTGCCCGTCAAAAGAGGACTGGATTTTAAAAATGTCGTACATATACATGATGGAATACTACGCAGCCATAAAAAAAGAACAAAATCATGAATTTTGCAGCAACCTGGATGGAACTAGAGTCTATAATACTGAGTGACCTCTCACAGAAACAAAGATCCGAGTATCACATGTTCTCACTCATATAATGGACCTTAAACATCCAATGCAATACTATATGAAAATGACTGACAGTACTGGAACTATGGGG